ATCGTCTCATATAAAATACGCGACACCCTCGAGTGGCGGAGTACACATTTTTTTCACGAATTTGTCTCTCTTGAAGTCGTAAATTTTATACCTTGGGAGGAATAAATCGTTCTACGGACACTTTTCAACACATTTTCTAAAGATCGATAACAATTCGTTACGCGCAATCAGCCTCTAGATTTAAGGACTACGTCCCTCAAAATCGCGGATTTCATAACCCAGTAAAATTTCACTCCCCGCGAAAGAATTTCCGAGAAAAACATCCAGGTCGCGGAATCTGCATTTAAAGAACTTCGGGAATGATCCCTTAATTTGATTTAGTAACCCCGAGGGTGAGATTCGCATATTTAGCAAATACGTTGTTGGAACATATTTTATCTCTCCTTTTCAAGAAAATCCCGTGGATGAAGTCTCATTTTTTCGAGACCCCGGGGGTGAATCCTGATTCTTTTGCAGACCCCGCGGGCACCCCCCTCCTTGCGTTTCTCCGGGCATGTTCCGTGCATTTCCCAAACGCTCCGTAATTACAACTTCTCGTGCCCGTCACTTGCGGAGGTGCATTATAGAGGGCGGCTGAATTATAAATAAAACGCCGCGGTGTAATTGAATAGGTAACAATTTCCCTGGCGCAATTCCATCCCCTGGACTCCGTGAAAAGCGGGGCGGGGTGGTCGTCATTTGTTTTTACCGCATATTCCGCCCTGCAGGCCGATATTTAAATTCAAAGCAGCGAAAATACCCTTTCGCCGTTTTCCCCTTTTTGCAATTACCCCAGGAATTTTCATCGGGGGGCCTGGTTACACCGAAGCGTTTCGGCAGCCGTAATAAGCCAATTACGCCCCTCGAAATGCTCAAAGGGACATTGTCAACCGCTGAACAGAGCGCTCCTGTGTTTCCAGTGTTATGATGGCTGACAGGTGTTGGCGACGCCGCCGAATTCCCGTCCGTGGACGCCAAATTGTTCGCTCGATGCCGACATTATCGCCGGACCAAAGGGATGCGACGGACTTTTCATCCCCTTTTCTCCTTTTTACGGATACCCCGGATAAAATACGACCACGCGAACGATCCCGCTTCTTGTATAACGTTGGATCCCTGAATGACAACCGTGGCCCTACCTGACAATGCCTCGAGTTACAGGATTTGACGATTTCATAACGCAAGGGTGGGTTTCATAATTGGTGGGCGAAAATTTCGAGTACTTCTGCTATTTCCCGAATAATTCCAAGATACCAAATGATGGAGGCTTTTTAAGATCGCAATTGATTTTATCCGTTATGTTAAAAATCGATGGAAATTTGCATAAATTTTGTACACAACGATTAAAAAAAAATGAATTCGTTTAATTATGAATTGGATAGAAAATGACGGTAGTTGCGGATTCGCCCTCGAGTTTCGCCGAAGAGGAACGAAAGACGATTCCAGGGATAATTCCGGAGTAGCGAATGATCGGGGTGCGAGCCCGACTTACGTGTCCAGAAAATTGCGTGAGGGTGGATCGGTGCAATTAGAAAAGTCTGGCGAATCGGCCGAGCAATTTGAATGCCGCGGCAGTAAACACGTATCCGAGGGGAATGCGTACTTATTACACGGGTGGCGGGGGTGGAATGGCATCGCATTAACGGGGCGAAATTACAGGTAACGCCCGGAGAGGGGACGGGGCTCCTTTGTTGGTTTACTTAGGTCTCGTTAAAATAGCCTCCCGGCGAGCTTTCCGGGCTCTCCGCGCTTTCTGGGCCGCCGCTCGAAAGTTTTCCCCGCCGCTTATGGGAGCGATCGTGCCTTCGGAAATTCGGTACAGCTTGTTTGACTTGACGTCCGGCTCGGTGTTTGACTTCACCCCGGGAGGTAATTCTCGGGCCGATTCCCTCTGACCCCTGGCGAGTCGACGGGCTCCGAAATTGCCGGTCCTTGTTGAGTCTCCCCCCTTTGCTTTTAAGAAATTCCCTCGAATTACGATCCCGCGACTCCTTCGAAAGCGCAATATCCTCCCCGAAGACGGAATTGCGCATCGGCCCAGACCGCGCCGTAATTCGAAGGCTTTATGGGGAAATCGCGTGAGTCCTTCCTTTTCCCCAGAAATCGCCGATCCGGCGATCCAAGAGCAATTTGAGATGTACATATATTTTCGTTTGGTGAAAAATAACCATGTAATTTTTATGGAAATTGACAAGGCCCCCAGGAGACGGTCGTTCCAGGCGTTAATTTTCCGAGTTCATTCCTCGAGTGCCTCGGAACAACAGCGGAAAGTTTCGTTCCCGGGGCGAAGCCAGAAGTCCGGATATGTCGAATGTTTTCTCTGGCAACCCTTAAAGTTCACGCAACCGGCCATAGTTCGCCGAAAATAGGGTCAAGTTGCTCGGAAACGACAGGGGTTCCTCGAATATGCTCTCGGTATGGCCCCGGCAATTTGCATTCGCCGCAGTCTCTAAGTCGCTGGAGATACCTAGATACGTACCCGGGCGCTAAATTTCCCAAGGATCGCGAACGCGCTATCGTCCGAAAACACTATCGCCCCCCGAAGTTTCGAAGGGATTGGCTCGGCGGAATCGATTTTCCGGCGACGATGAATTTTTGAACGTCCCTATTTGCATAGATGATGAACGCGACGTTTATGTACGCCCCGAAACGAGTGCCAGGCGGAATTTCTTCGAGCTGCACGCGACTCGAGTCAACGAGCTCGAATGAGGCCGCCATTTTTGCTCGAGAAATCGGAAAGAGCCGATCGAAACGGCAAGGTTACCTAGCTAACGAAATCCCATTAATTCGGAATTAGGGAACGAGACCACGAGCCCGGATATATTAAACTCTTTAATATGAAATTCCGAATTATAATACCCATTCTTCGCTCCTCTATTTAAATTATACTCATTCTTCATCGGAGTCCCCCTTAGAAGTATAATAAAGTTATTCGCATCATTTCCCCATTTGCCGAAAAGTATGAAATCTCTTTTTTACATTTCTATAAATCTTCATCCGGACGACCCTTATCGTTTCGGGCTGACCCCCGACGCGCGATTCTCCCCGCGTCGCAGGCAACCCTTTCGAGGGCCCGGGGCGGAACTTTCCCGCTCGAATGTTAATTTCCACGGAAGTTTCCCCGAGGGATCGATGGTGGAAATGGAGCGTGGCACCGAAAGCGCGCGTTAACGTCGCAAGATCAATGGGCCGGCGTCGAAGTCCGTTTGCGGTGTTTACCGTTTGCGGCGAGGTGTATCGAGGTCACGGAAAGCTTCTAAGCGCAGGCCTGCCGCGAGGCGAGCGGCCCCCTGACCATCCCTTTCCTAGCCGAAAGCTCGGCAGAACCTAGCTGGAAAGCTCCGACCTGCGACCGTTGCGAGTCCCGTCTCCGCGACGCGTTTCCCCGCCGCGCGGTCTTCGGGGTGCTCTTCGGGGTGCTCTCCGGGTACTTCTTCGGGGTGTTGACCGGTGTCCGCCAAAGTGGCTCCGCTCGCTTTTTCCTCCCCCGGGCCGGGAGGGGCACGCCGACCTGCAGGGGACTATCGACCGCCGAGTGCTCTCCTGTCGCGGCCTTAATGAACGGGCGCAAATGATCCCATCGATAATCGATAATCAGCTGTCTCGGGCGGATCCGCGACGCCGCGGCCCTTCCCCGGGTGCCTCGCGGCCTCCTCGACCTGCCAACCCTGACAGCTGCCATGTGCTCCGACTGGCACCCGGGAACAAAGTGACGTTCCTCCAGACGGATCCGCAACTCTCGGCCCGAATTTTCAACCGTGGATATTGATATCGTCGTATTAAGTTTCGAGGTAAAGATCTATTGTCTCCCGCCGATAAGTGAGATACTTCTTTTGTTTTAGCGGTATAATCGTGAATTCTATTTTCGTCAATTCCTCGGGGGAGAACAACGTCTCGGCAGGACGAATCCCCGAAATTGTCCGCGTGCTTTCGGATACCGGGACGGACTTAAATTCCACCCCGAAGAAGTATTTGTTTAAGGGCTGTCGCGGTGTCGCCAAGGCTGGGGGTGGATCTAGAAGGTAAACAGCGACCATATTCCCTTAGAAATGACGAAACGACTCGCTGCAGATATTGCCGATATTCCGGAGCAATGCCTGGGAAGACCCTTTGGGTTCTTTTTAATATCGCGAGTGATAAAGGGAATCGCGAGTCGCGATTTGCAAATGTACCTTTGCGACCTCGAAAAGAAGGAGGAGGAGGAGGTTTCCCTTTTTGTATATTTTAAAGTCATGAAAACTCCGCCGAAAGTGTCCCATTACGTTTAGAAGGATGTCTCATATATTCGGGGACATTTAAACCGGGATTTTGAAATTGAAATCAGACCGAGCGAACTCGGAAAAGAGCGGGTTCCTACTCATATGCCCGGTTGGAAATTTCACCGCGAACCTTTAAATATACTCCAGGAAAATCCTTACTCTTGCACAACGGCCGTGTGAGGATTTACCTACATTCGGACGAGCATAATCGAGTTGACCCGTGCACTCGAGTGAACTCGCGCGATGAAAAGATGAAAAATCGCCGGTATATCTCTGAATAAGGAAGATGCTCCTGCCCTCGACGAAACCGAGGCACAGACGGATATGGGCGGGTACGAGCGAGTAAAGTTTCTGATTTAAAATTTAAGTAAATAATTAAATTGGAATAATCTAATAAGAAGCGTAGAAATTAAATAGATGACGGTATCGGTGTCCCTTGGAGACGGTGGGACGCGAAATTGTGTTTCATCGACAATGTCTAATAAATGTAGGTGCGTGTCTCTCGGCCATCGGGTGCTCCACGTCCGTGTACGCAGTTTCTTTTTTTTCCGTTTCACGATAGACAGAAGGTCGTGTGACCACACGTGGACACCCCATGGTTCCGCCATACGTCCTGAATAAAACATGACTCAAGGACGCGGAATTCATCGGGACAAACCATCCCATCGAAAGATGACGATGAAGGATCTCGACGTTCCCTCTTCGAGGGAGAAAAAGTCCACCCCAATTTCGCGTCATTTACCGTCCCCTGTGAATTTTCAGAGTGCCAGAAGACCCGAAGAGGAGCCACAAGTATTCGCGGTTGCGCAGAAGAGATGCCGGAACGTCACATCGATTAATCGATCCCCGGCGTTGTTTGCATCCTCTTCGGGAAGAACCCCCGAGTGTCAACGATCCAGCTACCCCAGTTAAAATGGAATTTCTAAACGCAAGAAAGTACCGGTAAAACTACTTTATTAACCGGCGAGAAGCAAGGATCTTCCTCATCTCGATCGCTTTAAACTCGTGTCATTCAAAATTGGCTCCGAGGGAGGACGCTGATTATTTTCCAACGTTCAAATTCTACATGAAATTTCCGAAAATCGAGGAAGTCGAAGAAGAGCACGAAGAGAGTGATGAAGTCGCAGGAGTCGTCGAATTATATTGGAAGATCAAAGGCAAGGTGCGAGTCCTTTTTGGGAATTTTGTTGTCTCCTTGCTGTAGAGGCGAAATTCAGGGTTGTGAGGATGAAGACTAGTGTTTGAAAGTGGTTGATGAACAAATAAATAAAAAAGTGACACGATAATGGGGTCCGTGTCGTTCTAACGAGGATCCTGAAGTACTGGATCCAAGATGTCCTTCTTCGGATGGGGCAAAGCCGGACGAGAAAGCGCAGACCAGCCAGGACGCAATCTGCAGGATGGGCTCTTTCAAATCGCCTCTCAAGCCTGCCATATCCTCGTACAGGTGAGTCCTTTTCATCGAAAGCCAAGCCCGAGACTTTGAATGCGAGAAAGACCTCGACCTCTGAAATTCCTGAATTTTCTGAATTTTCTGGTATTTATCGGTCCGAGAAAATCCACCATTCGCTGCAATTAACCCTTTCGGGTACAAGGACTTAGACGTCTATAAAAATTCCGAAGGAAATAATTTCGACGCATTTTGACATTAAAATTGCTCCACATTCTATTATATAGTTCAAAGATAACTCTTTATAATCAGAATAATTATATTCGCCGTGTCGTTATTACTCTGTATTCATTATCTTATTGTAATATTGACTCAAGGATTAGACTTTTAATGGTGATTATTTATTTTTTGTTCATTTCTGGGATTTTTATGGGGCGTTTTCGTTTCTTTTCCAGGTGAACAACACGCACAACGTGTCGTATGGTGGCAACAACCACGTGACGAACGTTGCTTATTCCAAGTACCCCAAAGCCGGAAGTTCAAGTACCTTGTCACGGTCTTCCTCCACGGCTGGAGGGTCCTCTTCGAGCAAAAGCTTCGCGAAAAGCGCGGATCCTCGCACCGAGGACCAGGACGTGGTGATCCTGCTGCCGCATGGGAAGAGCAGGACCCCTCGAGTTAGGCACAAATTATCGGTATGAAAAATCATTTTAAAACAAGTAGACGTTTGGTACAACTTCCGATAGGATGTGCACGTCCCATATTAAGCTAAGATGCCCGCTACATTTATTTCGATCACTTCCGCGCCCTCTTTGGCATGAAATACACGTCATACTAAAAATGATTACAGGGGTCATGATAAGAGAAATAATTTTTAATTAGGCCTTCCCCTAAGAAAAAAAATTAATTGAACCGAAGAAATATATCTTAAATTCAAATAATAATCATTTGGCTCAGATAAGTTGTTACAATTCCGAAGAGTCGTCGCATTCGATTTATTCGACTTTATTCGAGTCAAATGATTATTCTTTGAATTGAGAAAATATTTCTTCGGTGCAATGAAAATTTATTTTCGGTGTGGAAATTTTTAAATGGTTACTTGGATCATGTGGGGTCATGAAAGGGATCGCAGGGCCCAAAGAGAGCAGTCGATCGGGAGTGGACCACCCTATTAGTGCGAAAATTGGCCGATGACGACGGGATATGCCTGCTTTTGACGCGGCAGGACCAGAATTCTGCAAATTACGCCAGGAGGGCGTCGGTTTGGTATTATGTCGGCCCCTAAGACCGAGCCCAAGTGGGTTACGACAAAAGTGGCTCCTGGGAGCGAAGGTGCGAAGGGCTTTAAGGCTAAAAGCTCTACCCGGGTCACCGGCTCGGTTGACATTTCCGACATGACCTTTTTTCCCTCGAAAACCGACTTGGAGGACCCTCGTACCTCGATTCGCCCCGATTGCGACGATCAATTTGTTTGGGAGATTCGTTCTTCCTGGGAACGCGGCGGGAACACCCTTCGACACAGATTTCACTTGTTGCAAGTAGGCCAGAGTTCACGGAGATGAACCAGTTAGTTAAGATGGCCGTCTGCACGTTCTCCGACCTGCCTCACTCTTAATTTAAATAATCCTCGCATTACCGCCGAAAGCCCGGGGACGACTCGTTGAAATTACCCAACATTTCTGGCTTGCACCAATTTGCGCGACGTCACCGGAGGACTCTTTTTCCGATCCACTTCTGTTATTTATTTATTTTTGTATTTTTAATCTCGTGACCTGGTTATTCTATTTGCATGCATGAAATCAATTTTTTAACCCTTTTAAGTATATTCGTAAACTCGTTGAACGTCTCAATAAATTTCGGTAAACTCCGATGCCAGGTGCTGCTCGATTATTTCACAGGATATTTCTATTGTTTGTTTATTTATGATTTTAATCCCGTGGTCTGATTCTTTTTTTTTTTTTTCTCGAAGAGGACGAAAAGGGGAACTCTTGACGTCGCGTGTCGCGCACCCGTTCGCGAGTCGAACCGAGTAATATCGCCTATGTCCACGAGATTGCCCGCAAAAATGGAACTTCGGCTCGTAATAAGCGGCCTCGGCGATATCGCGAGATTTCCGAAAACTTGGCGAGCACGCAGGTGCCGCAAATAATTGAACGGTTCGGAAATTCGGGGGAGATTTCGACGTCGAAGGGTGCGTCGCTACCGAAGATACCGCGAAAGCGGATCGAAGGAGCTCTGGGCGTTTATTTCCACTTTCAACCCCCATTTTCACGTGTTTTCATTCATATTCTCCCGAAACTTTTGTAATTTTGAAAATCCGCCGGCCAGGTAAATTTTTTACAATCGCGGTGTATACGTGTATTCGCATACAAGCCTTATAAGCTCTCGGCAAGGATTACGACCGACACGAGGAACCGTCCCGCAACATCTGTTCGCGACTCTTTGCGGCCAGGGGATGCAGAAATGAAAAACGCCCACACTCTCGCGGGTACTTGCAACAATCGAGTCTTGAATTAATCGGCGGCCGTGTTTGTCTCCCTGCGAGGGGAAAATTAGCCCTCCACCCCCGCCGAGCCGATTCGCATAGAGTGACCAACAGAGAAGCATATAATGCGTAATTAAAATCCGTGCCCTCGGGCGCGGGGAAAAAAATGCGGCCTCTGTTTGTCGCGCAAAATCGATTGTTCCGGTAGGAACCGGCCCTAGCAAATAATCGCCCCGGCAATTATTCCAGCGTTTACGAGAGTACTAGCCTAAACAAAAGCGCCGGCCGTATCACACAAACGTTATTATTGTCGCCCTGCCCTGTTGCAAATGCACCGTGAAACTGCAGTCATCCGCAAGGGGCCCAGGGCGATGCTTTCTCGTTCGACCACTCGATTAAGGATTAATCGCGTGTGTCGCTTCTTCCTCGACGAAACTTCAAAGTCCTCCAGCGATTCGATTTCGTTTGCCCGAATCGTGCATCGTTACGTCCGCTGGAAGTAATTCTTGTACCCTTGGATACGAATCTTTGCTCATTAACGAACGTGACATCGATTCATCATTTATTTATCAATAATGCGAGTGGGGTCTTTCCGAAGGGATTATATTTATATATCCCTCCAATAATTTCTTTTCGATATCCCTGAATCGTCCATACCACAGCATTGTCGAATGCCCTCGCCGGCAAATTGGTTTGTTTAAGCGTAATTAATTTAGACCGAGTAAGTAAACGTTCGCCGGCCGAATATCGGTTTTTTTTTTTTTTAATTCCAATTTTGACGCGAGGAAATTTGTGGACGTTTCGTGGATTAATGTGTTTTTATCAGGGTTGTTTGTCCGAGAAGAGGACTCACCCGTTTCGCGGAGTGAAATTCGGCCGGTTGGTTTGAAATTTTGCAATTTCCCCGGCACTTAATTAACGTTACATTAAGGATTAATCGCTTGTGCCGATTTTTCATTGGTGGCCTCACAAAGCCCCGAAATAACATTATCCCGAAATTACCTGTCCGATGAGTAGCCGTCGATCCGGCTTAACCACTCTCATTTTTCAATGCAAATTTCATGATTATCAGGCACCATAAACTACATTTTCCCCGAATTTCCATTACTTAGGCTCAATCAATTTAACCGAAGCGGCAAAGTACGTTCTCGGTGGGACGTTACGCGTTTTTATTGAGAGTTAAACATCCACCGTTACTCTTTATCCTCTCTAAACGTTGACGGGTCAACTTCCACTACAAATGTTAGTTTATCAATTTAATTGAAGAAATTCGTGCTTCCAAAATTATTTCCTTTCAGGCCGAACATCGCATATAACGACTAGACGAGCGTTTCTCTTGTTTTAACGTTAAAATACGTAAAAATCAAGGGAAAATATTAGCACGGTTTAATTTTCCGTTTTCGGCAGACTTTTCGCGGATTAACGGAGATTCGTTAATATTATTCTTGGGTCGATAGGCGGAAACGGATTACTCGCTCCGAAGAGGGGAAAAGTTTTGTGACGCCTTGCCGCGTCCAGGACACACATTGGAGGGTGTTTTCCTCCCGCGATAAAGGAGGGTGGCTCGAAATTAAATTTGTCCGAGAATTACGGTAAGGGAAGCCGGTAGCCTTTCGGGACAATCAAGAATTCACAGTCTTAACGGTATTTCGACACGAAGCACCCTTATTCGGGGCCGCCTTTATTAAGAGTGATTACAGCCTTGTGCATTTTAACTCTCCGGATGCTCCAGCGTAGATAATGGGATGCGCGATCGTGGAGGGTGCGCCCCCTCGGTGTTCCATATTTTCAGATTTCGAGCCCTAAACCAAGGGCAGTTTTGCCTCCTCCGATTTTTGATCATTCCCTTCCTCTTAAATCTGCCCTTTTGCTCGCATCGCATTGGGCGTGCCTGAAAAGTAAACGGAATCTTTTTCGGAAATTTTCTGATTACCCGAGCAGGTGTTTCCGTACTTAAAGCCTACCGTCCCTTCGATCGCTTCGTCTTCGCCCCCGATGAAGCGAAAAGAATTATTCTCGACGTTTAGCAATTTTTTCTTTTCAATTGCATCCCTCATTCCATGGATAAGGATCCGTTTCTTACGCACCGGAAATAGAGGAGGTGGAGAGTTAGACGCGGAAATGACTCGCCGAGGTTGTTAGGGCCGCGATTCGAAGGTGCATGTCAGCCGGCAATGAGAGCGGAAGAATCGAGCCATGGGGACACACGGGGTCCTGTAAAATTACAGACGTGGCCGCCGCTACCCGGGGCTTCATTAGAGGCGAATGTTAAACTAATGCCTTCCCGGAATGGAGCTCTGATGCCTGGAAGCCAATTCCCATGGCGATCGTCCTGCCCTGGAAGTTGCGTACGGTGTCGTGACGAGAACCCATAGGCCGGAAAGCGGAGCATTCGTTACGAGGCCGGGATGGCTTTCCTGGTCCCACTTACTCACTATCCGCGATTCGACTCCGGCCTCGGAATCATGTTTCGCCCTATCCCATTTACGGAATTGTCTCTTGCCGCATCCTCGCCATATTAATTCCCCTGGAATCGTAAACCACCGCGTACTGCCCGCGGAAAAATAATTCACCCCGATATCTAGAAATTGTATTTGTTTTAGCAAATGCAAATACTCGATGGGTTTCAAAGTTGCAGAATTTTAACACCCCATTACGTATATACTGTCCATGTGCCTATATACACCCGCTCGTACCCGACATAATTCTTCCGGTCCATTTCTGAACTTTTACGCTGTTTCTTCATTTTTTCCCAGCGCGTAAAAAATCGACGTGGGTGCATAGGTTACGTTTCCTATTTTCCGGTCGCGTTTTGTTGCTGGAAATAAAATGTTTGGGTGGATCGGTGACGTGTCGAGGGACAATTCCGTTCGCGGATTCACGTTGAGCGAATGGAAGGGATCTCAGAAATTGCAATCGAAGCTCATAATGCACATGGGCTCGATTTTCGAAATAGTTCTCGTGGCCGTTCGCGAATTACCTGCACGCGCCCGTGCAATTTTCATTTCCGGATGATGTGTACACGCATACGGTATATAAATACATATGTATAAGCACCGTAACAAGTTCGCCATTGAACTCGCAGGAGGTAACTCCCGCGCGATCCCGAATTGTCTCAATTACGTCGATGTAACGCTATCCGGGGTTAATTGCCATTGTTTCCTCGGGTCTGTGCTAATTAACTTACGAATGATACATACCCCGATTCAT